ATCCTGAAAAATGCAAAATGTTTCGCTCAAGCTTGTCACGCCAAACAGCTTTCTCTTTACGCGCGTCATTTTTTAGTGCCGCGATGAAGCCACGGCCTATACTTCCCTTATTTTTTTTTCATTTAATGCCAGTCACGCGAGATTCCCCCCAACCGCCACTGCCGTCACACACTTTTTCATCTGCACTTCGCCTTGTCTGTCTCTCGCTCGTGGATTTCCTTCGCTTGAGTTTTTTTCATGCGCTCCAAGTCCTCTCTCGCTTCATATCGGTACTTTGCTTTTGACAAGTCGCAGACGATTGCGTAATTTCGCGTACTTTTTTCCTCTTTCTGCGCAAGTTGAAATCGTCTCTTCTTACCCGGCGTGATTATTTTCGTGATTATTTTCAGCCAAACTGACGCGACCGTTTCTTTCTTGAGTGTTGTTTAATGAAATCGCCCTCGTCACGAGTTTATTTTGAAAGAGCTGCGAGCACTTATAAATAAAACGTTCGTTATTTCGCTCTTGTAGCATACTTGTCACTGCGTATAATAAGAATCCCAAACAAAATATCCAGCTCAAACTTGGCCCGTCAGCAGGCAAGTTTTTAAGGAAAAGGTCGGGACGACGCTGTGCGCGCACAAAGCGCAGCGGAGCCTCGAGCCGAGCCATCCAATGGTTGTTTGCGAAACTGGCGCGCATTCGTCGTCGCGATGACATCGGTCTCTATCCGAAATAGTTCGACAGCAGCAGTAGCGACCATTTCATCAAGTTAATGGACATCGGGAAACTTAACGACTCGATCACAAGTCAGCGGAAGCCCGCGCCGAACTCCGCCGCTGCTACGGCATGTCACTCGACTTCTCTGCGGCTACTTTGATCTACGGACGATGTCCTCCTCCTTTGCGCGTTTTCGTGGATTAGCAAAGCCGTACCTTCATTAGCCGTGTCTTCCTGTGTGACTTGCTTGGATTTTTTCTCTCGTGCAACTTTTTAAAAAGTACACACGGGTTCGCCAAATGTGTAATGTTGCGCTTTACTCATTACTAGATTGATGAGCTCCAACGAAAGTTTACCAGCGGGTGGCTAGTTATATTCGTATGCATACGCATCTTCAAATAATTATATAGATTAGAAGCTTCTGCTACTGGAGCAATTATACATATTTACAATTGGTGCTATTTAACGAGAAGTAAGTCAATTGCTATTCCGATAAGCTATGTAAATATATTCGATCTTTGGCATTAAATTAATATGAATAAAGTATATATACATCGTTAAAAGTCACGAGAGGTCAGCAATTGACAAATAGATCAATCAAATAATCACGCATTCGATTTGCAATCAATCACTTTTGTATATATATACATAAACACACGTATGTTCTTTTATACTATTCGTCAAATGCACCTGACAGTCGCAATTAATCATATATGGAATTTATATCCCCACACAGGCGTTCACATTTTTTCCAACGAATTCATCGAAACAATCTTTCTCTCTTGATAACACTCGTGAGTAATTGAAAAAAGTACTGTTGTACCACGCAGATTTGATATAACTCGATATCGAAGAATCGTTATAAAATCTATTTGACAAATGACAAGCTCGCTGTAGCGAGAAAGCTACGGAAATATAAATTCAGCGATGCGCGAATTGATTCATTAGCTTAATGGATCTACATCTCTCTCGCGATCCTCATTCTTCCGTATACGCGGGCACTTTCACGATTCAAAAGACACTCAATTAGCCAGCTTATGCATGCGAAAGTTTTCAAGTCGATCCGCTCAATCCTCGTAATTACACTCACTCGCTCTCTCTCTCTCTCTCTCTCCAAGGCAATATCTTCGTGACGAGCGTAACCGCGTGTATACCCTATATAGCGTCTAACCCCTCTTCCCCCCGTCATCGATCGAACGAAACCTTTCTCGTGTATCTTACGCGACTATCCTTCTCCCGCGTCGCTGTGGTTTCACTGCTCGTTCGGGCTGGTAGTTGCTCCGAAAGCTCGATCCTTCTTCTTCTTCTCCTTCTTCTCTACTTTCTTCTTTCTTATGGCGGTTGGCCGATGAAAAGCTTTACTTGCGTCCTTGAATTGCCGGTTATTTCTTGCCTTGCGTATAGCGAAGAGACGCTATTCAATTTCAGCAAAATAAAACGTTCCTTTCTCTTTTTTATTAAACTTGTCCGCAAAACAACTCCGATATCGAAAAGTTTGCACTCCCATTGCAAAATACATGCGTAGTACGAAACAAAAACAGCGAACTTTGCAGAAAAGATACTCCTTATTCGTTCGCTGCTGCGTGGATCCATTAGTAGTCTGCCAACAAAACTACGGATATAGAGAGAAAGATATTTTCCAATTAGTATCGCTTCCAAGCAAAACGAATCACGCTCTGAGCGAGAGATATGGACTGAAAGATACGGAGAGTAGCTTCATTAGCGAAACTTGTAATTAATGTAAACTCACAAATATTACGTTTTCGCTCTATTTTGTAGATACGAAATATCCGAGCACACGAGATTTCTCTCCAGAAAGCCATGTAACCGCAAGCACACACGTTTGAAGATTGATTAATCAGAAGAAATTAGTCTAGCGCAAGCTCGTCAAGGAAATTACCTGCTCCGCAGCAGCGTGAAAAAAGGAAGCTGGTAGCATAGTGTAATACGAGGAGTGGGATGGAAGGATTGGGAAGCTTACATGAGCGCTAATTCGTCGACTGCGTCGTCGTCGTCGACGACGACGACGACGATGACGACGACTACTACAGCCGATTAATCACCTGTACACAGCAGCACTAGCAGCAGCAGCAGCAGCGCTGCTGCTCGTAACATGCGAGTTTGCCCTATGTGTGTATATGCGCTATATATACGCAAACAGCTGCACGACGTCTCGCATATGGGGCGGACCCAGCAAACTTTCGTGTGTGTTTGTGCCGAGAGTTAACCCTTTTAGACTAAACTTTTCGCTGTACGTTGGCCCTTCCCTGCTCTGTTATTCATCAAGGATATGTGTTTGTGCCCGTGTGGAGCTAGTAAATAATGAAATATTTTATGTTTATTAAAACTGAAGTTTACGAGCTGAAATTAAGCCGACAGTGAGAAAGTCAGGCAAAGCACTCTGGCATATAATTTGGAAATTTGATTTGCTGACAATTTCGCCAGGCACGGTAATTACTTTAGACGTTGATTGTTTAGATTTTTGAAAAATAGTTATACGTGAAAATCGACAGCTACGGTGAAATCAATTGAAGTTCAGCTACAATAAAACAAGTATTAGTTTGTCTTTTTTTGTCGTTCTCCAGAAGATCCAACAAAAATGAATGAGAAAAGCTGATGTTCATCCAGAACGGAATATTGAATTAAACAACTCGTTTGTTCTTCTTCGTACGAATTAGATAATTCCGTACAATTTTGTATTTACAAAATAATAACAGCAGCATTTAAATGACGAGTCGCTTCGCAAACAAAAAAAATCAATAAAGACAAGAATATAGATATAGCTCACTAAAGCAACAACACACCCGTACGCTCTAATAAACAGTTTAACAGCGTGGAAGCTGCTTTTTACTCGCGTGTGTTATATACGTACTCGTACGCACAGTTTCCTTTGCAAGCGAAGCTGTATAGTGGAAAAAAATAACAACACGCTATAAAAATGGGAATAGGTAGGGGGTGGAGTACAAATAGAACGCAAAGAGAGGCAATACTTGGGCGTTCACTCTCTCTCTCTCTCTCTCTCAAGTTTAAGTAGTAATAGGACAAATACGGCCAGACCAGGATGCAAGTACAAATACACTTTGCTTCTCTCTCTCTCTATCTCTCTTCCAGTTTCTGTTACCGAATTGACTTTCCCCGTGAACTATACATCTGTCTCTGCTTTTACCTCTCCCCCCTGCACACCGCTTCCCGAAGTTTATTTCGCTCCTTCGATGTTTTGTTATCCGTCTCCTTTCTCCCTCGCTTTCGTTTGTCTTTTAAATTTTTTGCGCCTTTTCGGCCCATTGTACTTTTTCCTCATTATTAACTTTCCGTCTCTCTCTCTCTCTCTTTCTCTTTGACGCTTTGTCTTTGTTTATTCCTGCACTTCATTTTTGCTCTGACTGTATATTTTTCCTTAAGCTTGGAATTGCGTATATCTTCGCTTTAGTTCTTCTGTAGATTTATTACCTTTCACGCTTGATTGTTCGATTTATCACCATTCGTCAATTAGGAATGTAGGGACGAATATTCTTATTTCCTTTCCTTTGTTGGCACATCGTGTATATTTTGCCAGGCGGCTCATCAATATTTCGTTACGTCGGTGTCAAGAAATTCTGAATGCTCTCGCATCTATTAAATATACCGTATACCGAAACAGAGAATGGCGTTTCGCGACAGGCATAAATCAATTTTGAGAAAACCATCTTGTTGCAAAGAGAATTATGCTTGAAGAATATCTTCTCTTGTAAGAATATTTCTTTTTAGATCGAAAAGATCCTTTGGCAACAAAAAGCTTTGCTCTGCAACTGTATTAAGTGAAGAACCCTCGAAATCCAAGAGCATATCTCTCGTAACAAGAAGATTCTTTCAGTGTCAAGGATGCAGTAATGATCGTTAAATACATGAAAATGAACGACGCAATAAATTATTTTCTTTACTAAATTAACAATTGTATCATGCGAAGCCTTTGACGAGAACTCGCAAGCTCGTACGGGAAAGAAAGGCAACGACACGAGACTTGACCGAGGGCACTTGCAAAAACATTGCAGGGATACAAAGGAGGAACAAGTAGACAGGAGGTAGTAATGCTTATCAATTTCGCTCGCGTGCGCGCATAGATAGCCATTCTTCGCTCGGTTTTGCAGAAGGAGAAAGAGAGAGTATCTGGCTATAGAAGGTACATACTCGCGGGGTGCGCAGCGGCCGGTGCGCCTGCCATCCTCTACCACCCCACCACCGTCGTCACCTCTATAGCAGCGCCGCCCGGATGCTGGGGCTCTGCTTCTAGCTCTGTTTTCAGTATCGCCGTGTGCATCGACCTTAACGTGTCGTTCGTATACGTATGCTGCCAAGTTTTTCGCGAGTGTGCCGATAACGATGATGATTTGATCGTGTGATGATTTGACCACATATTATTTACAACAGTGCGAGTGTTTCTCAATTTTTGTGCTGTGACGATATGAGCCAAGTTCAAGTACAAGTGCGGGCGGACATTTCTGATGGATGCCACTGCGTCGGTGAGCTTGCGACTTTTTTTTATTTTTCCAAGTATGACTGACTACGGGGATTTGCCGTTGGCCTGGGACGCATATAATGGCATTTTAAAGTATAATTGAATTGCGGACTGACCTCGCTCACATGTCTACCTTGTTGCATATACATGAAAGCTACGATTGCCTATGTTTTAACGAGTCTTTTGCGAATTGTTTATAAGCTGGGATTTTCTCTTTCTGGTAAATTGAATTTTTTTTGTTTTTCCTTCAACGTTACGAGAACGTTACAGTAGGGGTAGATTATTGCTATTATTGTGATTTTAAGGAAGAATAAGAGCTTGCAAGCTCTCTCGGAGAAACCAGTTTATCCTTTAATGAGGCGGCCTTTAACTCCACGCGCGAGCTAGAGAGAAGGAAAACGGTAAATAATGAGTTTAATTAATGTTTCTGCCAAGTTTTTATCAAAGTAAAGTGACTATTAAACTTTCAGTCAACCTGCCTTCTTCATATTGCCCACAGATCCCTTCGCTACTTCTTCTTTCAATGAATTTTGCTAGCATCGAAAGAGAAAAAGTCTTTCAGGCAACGTCTTTATAATACTATTACAAAAAAAACAGTTTGTACAAAAATACTTAAATTTGAAAAAAAAAAAACACGCGCAAGACGGTTTGAGAAGGGAGAGAAATTTAAAGCAGTGTTTATCTAAGCCCATACGTCTACATTCCGGGCGCGCGCGTGTGTGCGCGTATGGGTGTGGGTGTGCAAAAGTCGCTTTTACGCCAAAGGAAAGGTGGACGGTTTGTTTTGATACCTTTCCGTGAGAACGTTTATTCTATGGAATCTTGTTTTTGTTTGCTCAAGTCCAACAAAATACGCCGAGGAAGCTCGCTCGATAAATAAAATTTGAGGGGACGCGCGCGCACCTGCCGAAATAAATTTGCGTGCAGGCTCGCCTCGATATAATTCCGCGGCGTGCGACGGGCATTGCAAGGCCGCTGTTTTTCAACTGTGTATATAGGCCGTCTGCGGTGCGTACGTGCACGCACGCGGAATTTATTAGGTTTCCTCCGCGCAATGATTTCTCAAACCCTTTAATCCACGCACAGACATACAGCGCCGAGCTTTCGCTTTGATCTGGCTGATTGAAACTTGCGCGGGAGCGCGGCCGAGTGAATTATTTATTCTAAAATTCGCCGGCGAAAGCTTCCCCACATCCACCTCCCATCCCCTCTCTCTCTTTCTATCTCTCTGTCTACATTATTAACTAGCGAATTATCGCGGCTTGATGATTTGCCAGTGAACTCGAACATAATTATTTGCAATATGTCGGCAAATCATTATTTCGATATAATCTCTGGCTTTTGTGCATGGGGTTATTACGTTTTTGTTCTTTACCCCTGCAGGCTAAATCAATTGTGTTTCGCAATACTAATCACGGAAGGATCAAATTGCGTTTTCGGTTCGGAGAAAAACAATACTCGGTGTGCTAATTTTAAACTCACAGTGTATTGTACAAATTTGAAGTGTTTTTTTTTGTCTTGATTGGAAACAAAGCATTCGCGAATTGGTAATGCATTAAAAACGAAATTATACCTCAGTAAATAACTTTCTAATTTAACATAATTTACTCAAGAAATCTTCATTTTTAAGAAAGTTTGACTTGTAAAAATCAAAAAAGATTTTTTTTAATCAAGTAAATTTGAAAATTGTTTCTTTCAGTATTGACGTTTCAATCACATTTATGGTCATGTTGTTCAATTTTTGCCGAAGTTTAGACTTTTAACTTTAAATTAATAATAGCTACAATTATAATTTCCTGCGCGACTAGAGAAGAACAGAGGAGTGTCTCCGTGGCACTTTCGGTAAAGTATGATAGGTGTACGAGTAAATTCAGATTAATTAGCAAACTTTATACGCCCAGACTTTACGCCAACTTCTATTAGTTATTCTAACGCTACGTATAACGTTAACGTATTTCTGCGGCACTATGATAGTTCCAAATTAATCTACTTTTCACAGCGCGCGACTTTTCCAAGTCAATATTATAATTCATGGAGCGCGTGTTATACACTTTGCCCGTCTTTCTCTGCGCCTCAGCCACCTCTTAATACTTTGAATATTCTAAATATGATGAATAATATATACTCAGGCTTTACTGAACTTAAAGTGGAATTCGGAGAGTTCGGGCTTGCTCTGAGGTGCGAATTCATGCATCAAGTTAGCTCCTACTTATTGCAAGAACGTACATATATTAAGTTAATGCATGAATTTTCGAAGTCGAGTTAGCCCTATCGTACTAAACAAAAAATTATCCTAGCTGCTATTTTGAATTTCTATACAATGTAGGTCAAATATTGTTCTTAATTTAAAAAATCAGAATTGTTGTAAGAAATTCATTCAAACACATTTCTTTAAAAATGATCATTGGTTGAAATTAATTTGAAAAACTTTAAGCAGTACAAGCCATACATTTTCAAAGATCGAAGTTCGGATCTCAAGGTTGAGGGATTTTACCCCAAAGCAAGAAAATCCAAATGGATAGCAGCATAGGAGCCGCGAGGTACGAAAGTAAAAAATCACCCTTTAAACCCGGCCACTCTTCGGCAAGAGTCTTTTCTGTCGCTATATCCACGATAACAAAAAGAAAGGAAAAAGAGTCGCAGCGGAGAGCGAGGGAGAAAAAAAAACAAGGATTCAACTGGTACAATCCGTAGAGCGTGCAGCAGCGTTGAAAGAAGAGTCGAAAACTCAATCAGGCGAAAACGACGAAAGCCAACTCGCGCTCTCTCTCTGCAGCAACGCGCGGCCAGCACGGGTGGGCGACGAATCGAGAACATCCACGCAACCTTGCGCAAGAAAAATGTTTTTTTTCCCCCCGTGTCCCTAATTGGCGTCACCCTCGAAACAAGAAAAAAAAACGAAGAATCTTTTCTTTTAGGGAGGGTTACGCGATCGATATTGACATAGGTAAATAATGAATTGGCCATAGGAGGGTAGTATTTGTACAGTAGTATTGGATTGATGCCTAGGTTTAAGGCAACGGCCAGAGGGAGTGACGCATTGATTAACTTGTGACAGATTTCGGCTATTATGCATTATTATCGTAACACGCTCGCGCGCCCGGCCGAGAAACGACAAGTATCTGCGTGTGAAATCCTGACTGATGTTCGAACTCGTAACACCCTTAAAAAATAAATTGGCGAGGGATTTTCACACTCGAGATAGCGGAACGGAGGATCACATTAATCTCTACGAATAGAATAATTCTTGTAGCCGTCAAGTGATTTTGATTACTCGTCGATCAAGAAAAAAAAATTGAAACTGTATATTCGTTTGGCACAGTTTTGAACGCAGCCGCTCAATTAAGGATCATTGTGACAGTAGCGTAAGTGTAAAGTATGCGATTAGCGAAGCTTTTAAAAAGCTTTCAAGCCTTTTCGTGCGTGTGCGTGTGGAAAATATAGCGGGCGCGCATCAGCGTAAATCCATTAGCATAAGCTTTTTCCTCGCGGCGGACGTTTGTTAAAGGCAATATAGTAGTGTGTTGCAACCGCGATTCTCGTGCCAGCGGGCCGTGGATTTGAAGAGGCTAGCCGGTCGCTCGCTCGGAAATGCTCTTCTGCCGAGTCGAAGGGAGAGGGAGAAAAAGAAAGAGAATAGCCCAGCGAGACGGCAAATAACGAAGGGATGTGAGCTCGTGCGTGAACCATCCATCCCTCCCTCGGAATTCGCGGTATTAAGAATCCAACCCTCGACTCCTATTTACCTCGACTCGACGTATATGTACGCTGCCTGAGTTTTTGCTTTCTCCGACTTGCGGCCACTCGTCATATTAGCCAACGAACGAGAGGGACGTCGCTACCACAATTGACCGGAATGTTCTCCTTCCACTTTTTCCAGGGATTTTCGTGATTTCACCTTTGATCCGGATTTTCAATGACATTCTGCCCTGCCTTCAAAATATTTATGAAATCTCTTGGCACGTTTATCATCCGGATTTGGTAGATCGAAAAAGTGCGTAATGCCACGCGCTGGCGTTTGATCTATTTTTGGCGAGGTGAAACGAGAAGAAATCCTGCCCCGTCCCACGCTGCTGACTAACTTTATTATTTATCACGTCTGAATACTATGTAATGCTCGAGAGAAGATTAAGAAGATACCTTAATTTGATTCTCAGCGCAGAAGAGCTCTCTGGCTCGGTGAGAGTTTCGCAACATCTATCGCACGTCAATGAACCGCTCAAGTCAAGCACTCGAGAAACAGTAAAGCCGCAGCTGCGTGAGCGTATATATACGCAATAATCTTCCATTTCCGCGACTCTTACTTTCACTCGATTACGGTCAGATCCCTTTTTTTTTCTTTTTTTTTCTCTCCTCCTTTCCCCCTTCACATTTCATCTTGACCGTCGGCGCAGCCCTTTTCTGTCGATTAAAATTCACTTTTTATTCCGGCGTGCTCTTCGCTGCTTTTGTGGCTTGTTTGGTTCTCTCTCAGTCGAGTTTTCGGTGCTTTTCAATTATACCTTTTTGCTCGGCAGCCCCGCGGGAAAAGAGCCTTTCGATGTTTTCTCCCGGAAAATTGCCCCTCCCTCCACCCTCTACTTTTTTATGATCCCTTGGCCTGCCAAGAAGCTTCACGGTCTCTCGTTCCTTGTTTTTATTGTCGCCATTTTTTTTCTTCGTTCCGCGTTTCAAACTTTACATTTGCCAATTAGTCAAATAATAGAATTTGGATAATGCTAGAACTATTATCGGCGGAGATTTATTTTCATAAAATATCGTGCGGATCGGTGCTCAATTTGCAAGGCTTAAAACTTTGGCCCGAGCGAGTTGACAGAGAGAGAGAGAGAGAGAGAGTCGAGCGCGAGCAACTGGGCGCGCGCACGGTGAAATTTAATTATTAGACCCTTTCTTCATCATCCAACGTCGCTTCCAATCAGTTTAAACTCTCTCTCTCTCTCTCTCTCTCTCTCTCTCTCTCTCTCTCTGTCTCTCCCTCCTGTGCGAATCTGTTTCCTTTGATTC